AAGGGTGCCCGTGGCGGCAACCGGGAGCAGGGGTGGGGGCGGCGTGTCGGCAGAGGGGGGAGGGCTGTGGATTGAAGGAGGCGCCATGAGGAAGGAAAGGTGAGGAGATGGCCTGGACAGGTAAGTGACCCTGCCCGCCCTCTCCCAGACCTCGGGCAGACAGCAGAGCCCAGCACAATGTTCCCGGTACCTTCTCTGACCATGAGCTCCTATGCAGCCCGAATCCCGGGTTCCAGGAGGCAGGTGCAGACAACCCATGTGGCCACAGCTCAGCTGCCAAGAGCAGGCCTTGGGGTGGGGGTGGGGGTTGAGCCCAGCTCCTCTGTCCGGGCGTCCAGCTCCCAGCCTGCCCCTGACCTCTCCCTTCCCTCTGCCCAGTCCTACAACTGCCCCAGCCCCTACGCCGACGGGCGGCTATACCAGCCCTACGGGGACTCAGCCGGCTCCTTGCACAGTGCCAGCCGCTCCGGCAAGAGCCAGCCCAGCTACATCCCCTTCCTGCTGAGGTGAAGCCACCGTGGGGGCGCGTAGGGGGCGTGGGAGTGGGGCTCCCCGGGAGGAGCGTGGGGGTCCTGAGGGGTCAGGGTCAGCATGGTTCTTTGTTTGGGCCACACTGGGTCCTCCCGGGCTGCTCCCAGCTTGCCGCCTGGTGCCTCTGGTGGACCTTGGTGGACCCTGTGGCCCATCTTTCCGGCTCTTCCATCGCAATCTTGTCTGCTCAGGGAGGAGTCCACGCTGACCCCTGGCCAGGGGCCCCCCGGCCTGGTGGACCCGGGAGGCCTGTTTCTGGAGGGGCAGGAGCAGCAGCACGGTGAGGACACGGAGGCTGCCCAGGCGGGGGACGGGGGCACCAGCCTGACTCACGGTGGGGGAGGCAGCTGGACCACCCACCATCTCTCTGTCCCCCCAGACCCGGACACGGACTCCGACAGTGACCTGTCCCTGGACGATGACCAGAGCGGGTCGTACGCCTCCACACACTCTTCAGACAGCGAGGAGGAGGAGGAAGAGGGGACCGCCTTCCCCGGGGACCCGGGCTGGGACAGCCTGCTGGGGCCGGGCGCTGAGCGGCTGCCCCTGCCCCGCCCGGCCAAGGGTGCGCCCCAGCGAGAAGGCGGGGTGCCCAGGGCCGGGGCCACCTGCCGCCTGCCCGCGCCTCACCCCTTCCTTGCTCCCCTAGAGGGGGGCCCCGGCTCTGCCAAGGTCCCCTGGCCAGGAGACTTTGGGGCGGCAGTGAAGGAGAGCGGAGGTGGCGGGGCCCCCGAGGAGCGGCTGCGGGAGAACGGGGACGCGCTCCCCCGGGAGGGCCCCCTGGGGCCCCTGCCCGGCCCTGCGGCGCAGCCTCACAAAGGTGAGGGGCACCGGGCGTCCCGGGGAGGGGGTGCTCCGGGATGGACCCCCGCCCCACCCAGCTGCTCAGGGCACCTCCCGCCCCGCCCCGCACGCACAGGCATCCTCAAGAAGAAGGGTCTTCCCGGGGCCGGCGGGGAGAAGAGCAGCCTCCTGCGGCTGCCCCTGGAGCAGGCCACGGCGTCCTCCCGGGGCTCCTCGGCCAGCGAGGGCAGCCGCGCGCCCCCGCCGCGGCCCCCGCCCCGCCAGAGCCTGCAGGAGCAGCTGAACGGGGTCATGCCCATCGCCATGAGCATCAAGGCGGGCACCGTGGACGAGGACTCCTCGGGCTCCGAGTGAGTGGGGCGGGGGGTCGGGGGGCAGGCCCCGAGGACCCCCAGGCGGTGGGAGCGCAGCCCAGGCGGGCCTGCGGGTGAGCCGAGCCTCTGCGGGTGCTTCTTGGTTTCTTCTTCTGGCGGGAGCAGCTCGCCTCTCTCCTGTCCCCCACTAACCCTCCGTCTGCCTCTCTGTCACTCTCCTCTCCTGCCTCTCCAGATTTCTCTTCTTTAACTTCCTGCATTAACCCCGGGCCGGGTCCCTCCACCCCGGCGCCGCACCCCCCAGCTGCACTCACGCCCGCTCCTGTCTTGTGCTTTATCCCGCCCCTGCTCTCGCGCCGCTGCCCGCCGCCTGCTCAGCGCTGAAACGTCCATCTGAGGAGCCTGGGCCCTGCCGGGAGGGGGTGTCCTCCCCGCCCCGGCCATCTAGTGCCAACTCCCCCCACCCGCCATCCCCTCACTGCACTTTGGACCCCTGGGGCCAACATCTCCAAGACAAAGTTTTTCAGAAAAGAGGAAAAAAGAAAAAGATTTAAAAAAAAAAAAGGATCTCTACTCGTCATGACTTCAGGGATTGAGTTTTTTTTATACGCTGGAAACTGACGCCCCTTTCCCTCCCCAAAGACGATAGGACCTTCCCGGATGCTTCCCAGCCTCTCCTCAGTTTCCCATCAGCTGTGCCTCTGGGAGGAGAGGGGCCCTGGGGGGCCCTGCCCCCGCCCCTCTGATGCCATCACCAAAAGCAAAGGACGAAGCCACATGCACCCGGGGCGGGGTGCCCTGCAGGCTGCCCCCTGGACAGGGAGGCTGGCATGCCTCCTCTCCGGCCTGCACCCCCCACGCCACGCCCCCAGCCTCCCAGGAACTGGAAAAGCCCCATCCTCCAGGGGGGGCCAGAAGGACTCAGCACCCCCGGATCCCCAAATGCTGCATGAACATTGTGAGGGGAAGCCACGCCCCGGAGCCGCCGGCCCCCTGCCCTCTCCAGTCCCTGGACTCTGGGTGCTGCTGCCCAGGCATTTGCTCAGTTTGCTGACCCCAAAGTGCTTCATGGGGCCGCCGGGAAGGCCCCGCATGTGTTCTGTTGCGCTTCTTTGCCGGGGGTGGGGGGATGGGGTGGGGGGACGGGGAGGAAGGGGAAAGTGGTCTCAAGCACAGGGTTCGGGTCTGAGTTCCGGTGTGCATGCCCCTCTCGCCCCGCCCGCCCAGGAGCAGACCGACCCCCGTTTTGTCTGACCCGCCATGGCCTCTGAGACGTGTTCTATTTTTAACCCCTTCTTGGAATTGGCTCTCTTCTTCCAAGGATCAGTCCTGCTCCTCTTTGTCGGCACCACCTCCCCGCCCCTCCCCCGCCCTCTGCGAAGAGAGAGTTAATATATATTTTTTTATTTATTTGCTTTTTGTGTTTGGGGAGGAGTTCCTGTCAGGGTCCCAGAGGCCTGCTGTGGCTGTGGCAGGCCTGGCGTGTCCTCAGCATCCTGGCGTGGGGGTCCCCAGGCTCCGCCCTTCAGCTCCAGGCTGTCATTGCCTGTCTGCCCCCACCACACACACACTGTTTTTGCCAGTGCTCCTCACAGGAGCCCCCCAGTGACACTGAGCATGTATCCCGAACTCTCTACCTGCCCTCTGAAGCCAGTGGCTAGAAGTCAGAGGCTCTGGGCAGAAAAGCCCCTGTCTCCGCTATAACGCTCATCTCCCTGGCTCCCCTGCGTGGACCCTCCCCTTTTCCTCGCCCCTCAGCAATTCCTGCAAAGGGTTAAAAATTTAACTGTTTTTTACTACTGATGACTTAAGAAATACAAAGATGCTGGATGCTAACTTGATACTAACCATCGGATTGTACAATTTGTTACTGTAAATAAGGTAGAGTTCTGTGTGGTGTTCTGTTCTCATTTCCTCCTCCTACCGAATAAAAACTAGTTCTGTGCGGGTTGGGCCCATGTGTCCTGGGTGTCGGTGGTGTGTGTGTGTGTGTGTGTGTGTGTGTGTGTGTGTGTGTGTGTGTGGTGTGGGGGGACTCCCTGGTCCTCCAGAGGGAGGGAGACCAAGAATGTGGGCAGCAGGGGCAGACAGGGGCCTCAGAGGGTCAGACAAGCAGGCAGGGACCCCAGAGGGTCAGACAAGCAGGCAGGGACCCCAGACTCAGGCGAGCCACCCCTCTGCCGACATCTGCTCCTGACATTCCCGAGGAAGGTGCAGGACTAGGAGAGGGGCCTTCCATCAGGACAAGAGAGCTGCATGCTTGGGGAAGCTGCAGAGGGTGGACAGTTTACCAGCCTGGCCCTGGGGCTCATCCTACAAGGGACAGGGATTCATGCGACAGGGAGGGCTCACGGGATTCAGAAGGGCTGAATGACTGGGACCTTCCAGCTTCTCTGGGTACTTTGTTCCTGAGAAGCAGGTCAGTTCCTCGCTCTGCACCCACAGCATTAAATCAGGTCTCAGGTTTTGTTTCCTGCAGGTTTGTTCGACAAACTAGACCAGACACAGCCATGGAGGAGAGCCACCAGGAACTCAAACCTCAAACCTGAGCTTTAGGGACTTTGCCTGCAAAGCAGGGAGGATGTTAATAGAATCCCCCTAATTGGGCTTTTATGAGGATTAAACGAATTAACACATGTAAAGTGCTCAGAACAGTTCACAGTGCATAGTAAGAGGCAAAAAGAAAAAAGAAACTCACACCACCCCAAAATAGAACTAGGACGGCCGACGAGGGAAGGAAGCAGGAATCTGTACACGCCGGCGGTCCTGGCAGACAGGCCCGACTGGACTGCTGGAGTACGTGGCTCCTGCAGATCTGAGGGGGCCTGGGAGTGGGGCTGGAGCCATGAGCCAAAGAGCCTGCCTTTCCCTCTCTGACCACCAGGTGGCACCAGCATATAGGCTGCAGCCTGGCCCACATCCAGGTCATCCAAAGTGCCATCTGGTGGCTACCCCTATGCGTGTCTGGGCAGGCGGAGCTGTCGGTCCTCAACGCGCCCTGCTCACTAGGTGCCAAGGCAGCTGGAAACCTCACCTGAACGTTTCCAGTTAAACTTACAGCGTTTGTCTCCAGGACCCCACTCCCAGCTCTACTCCCGCAACCCACCTGGCTGTCAGAGGCTCAGAGTGACTGTCCAGGCAGCTATCACAGGGGTAGAGGTGAATGTGCTCCGTGAACCTGAAGATGAGTCACAGAGAATGAAGAGAGCAGCGGAGGGTCCCTGACCCCGGAGAGCCCAGGAGTCTGTGGGCATGTGGGGGTGGGGGGGGCGGCTGGTACTCCCCCTCCCTTTACCCTGTGGCCCGGGTACATCGGGGTTTGAACTCCAAGAGGGCAAATTCCTTAAAGGCTCACAGGGAACTGAGCTGGTTCTGGAAGGAAGCGTTAAAGGCTGTGGGAAAGGGGAGGCCCAGGGCTGAGTCCGTTAAATGAAGTCTTTGTCATTCACTCAGCAAACATCCCCTCTCCTGCACTCAAAAACTTTTCCATGAAGGAAATTCGCTGCCGCATAACAGAACACTAATAATTTTTTAAATTTCCTTTTTGGGGGGGTTGGGGGTCACACCCAGCCATCTCAGGGATCATTCTTAGTGATGTTTGTAGGCTAATCTGGATCTGCCAAGTTCAAGGCAAGTTCCTTAAACCCTGTTACTATCCCTTTGGCCCCAACACAGAGAATTCTCCTGCCAGATAGGATGTAAGGAGGATGTAAAGGCTGGGAATAGGGTGCACCTCCAGCATGCACCTTCTGAGGGGGAGAACTGAAATGCTACAGGACCCCCCCAAACCCACCCCATAAATAGAGCAGATAAGAAGTGGGAATTCCTAATAGGCTTCACTGCTTCACCAGGAAAGGCTAAGTTTAGGATCTAAGTAATTTACTGAGACCGACCCTGGCTTGAAAACATCACATACTGCGAATTAAACTTTATTAACTTTGATCTGAACCTTCTAATAACATAAATCTTGCTCGCCCCTCCCCCTCACCCCCCAAAGTCGTGAGATGAGCAGCCTGTCGCCAATTAATATACACAAGGGAGAGAGTCATGTCAAATGGAACCCTTTGTTGGGGAGGGGTCCTTCCCTGCAGTGCTGGGATCAAAATCGGGGTGCCTGGCAGCCTCGAGGGCCTCCAGCCCCATCAGGTGCCTGACGGGGGGGAGGTGAGGGGTCCTCCTGGCTCCCTCACTGGAATGACTCGAGTTAGTCCAAAAGTGTTAGAAATTGGTGCAGGATTTTCCACACAGAGGCAGCCTATAAAAATACATTTATTTAGTTTTAGAAAACGGCAGACCAATGGAATGAACTTATCAGAAACTGGTCGGTAAAAAGTCACAAGTTCACAACATTCCCAGGAAAAGGGTTCTGGGGCCTGGCCCGGCCTCTCCAAATGGGCTTGTGGCCAGCAGAGGAGATGGCTGTGGAAAGGGTGTGATGGCTCCTCAGAGAGCCAGGGAGGCTGACTGCATAGGCCATGCACATGGAAACGTCCAGTGCAGCAGAGCCTGGAAGTCAGATGGCACTCTCGGGGCTGAGAGTGAGGGCGGGCTGAGGACAAGCCTCCGCCTGCTTGTCTCATTTCTTACTTGATTTCGCTGCTGATGGGAGCTCTCCTCCAAATCTCTCAATCCAGAGAGTCCAGTCCCCCTCCAGCTGACCCCTAACATGCCCCGAGCCCGCCCTGGTCTCTCCTCCTGGGGGATCAGGCCGTTGGCCTCTTCCTCCCATCTCTGGGCCAGAATCTGCAAGAATCCGGGCCTGCCTCCAGCGAGAGGGCCAGGGAGGCTGGGAAGCGGCAAGACCAGGCGGTGAGTGGACGGTATACTGCTGAGTTCTCACTGGTTGCAGTGTTTCTTTACCTGAAGACACAGAAGAAGGGCCCTCAGCTCCCTGTAACTCTCAGCTGAGTTCAGCCTCCCCGCTCTTGTCTGGCACCCAGGATCAGGGCTGGCAAGCAAAGCAGCCAGGAAGCTGGACGATGGGGAGAAAGAGTCGGTCTCCACCTCTCTAACCAGTCCTACCTGGCAGGTGCTGCAGACACAGCCCCTTTTGGCCGGGGCTGAAGATTGCTGCGAGCAGAACCAAGGCTGGGAAGATTTGGTCTCTGCGAAACAGGAACTTGATGGGTGTGAACAAAAGGAAAGGAATTAGAGGCTGGAGCAATAGCATAGCTGGGAAGGCGTTTGCCTTGCATGTGGCCAACCCACTTTTGATCCCTGGCATCCTGAGTCCACCAGGAGTGATCCCTGAGCATCTCACTTGTCGGGTGTGGCCCCAATGCACCCCACCCCTACCCCCCAAAAAACAACAGGAAAGGAGTTAATGGAATGCTCCAGTGATCATCTCAAAAAGAAAACCTCAATGAAGGCCAAAGATATATAGGATCAGTGCCATGAATTGGGCACCCCCAGGCCCCTGCCCACTCCCAGGTACATCAGGGATCTGAAAACCCAACATTTTGCCCAGGTCCCCATTGTCCTCTAAACTGGGTCTTTCCATCTTCAAACTGCCTCAAAGAGCCAGAGAAAGCTATTACATGCTTGGGATGGGGGACCTTCCTCCAGTTCCCACCCTGAGGGTCCCCTGCCGGACCACCTCACCTCTGTGCCCCACGGCACTGGGCTTGGGTAGTCCTCTCCGAGCAGACAGAGACTCTGGGGGTGTGGCCCCCCGGCTGGGTGGCACACTCCGCCTGGCCAGTGGCACTCGGCTGGTTGGCCTGGGGATGGCTGAGGGGACAGGCAGCCGGCTGGAGGCTTTAGCAGCGGCCCCCTGTGGCCGAGCCAGGCGCTGAGAGTTGCTGGTGGCGGGCTGCAGGGTCAGGGTGGGCCGGGTGGGGTTGGGGGATCCTGCATGGGGGACAGGAGAGGCGTTCCAGGGCCAACTGCAGCTCTACCCGCTCCCGTGCACGCACACGTGGCTGCCCAGGTTTTCTCACTTGCTATCACTCGCCCACTGGGCCCAGCTCGGCCCTGGATGGGAGGAGTGGGCCGCACAGGAGGCGTTGGTCGTCTGCGAGGCGTTGATCGGCTGCGAGGCGTTGATTGGGCAAGAGGAGAAGCTGGGCTTTTGGATGCGGGGAACAGATTGCAAGTGGGCGACTCCTGAAACACAAAGGGAGAAAAAAACATCTAGAGTGAAAGAAGAATCTGTTTTGCTGGCTGGGTAAGGGATGGAGGCGGAGAGTGGCCTGGATACCAGCAAGGACGGGTAGACGTCAACTGCCAAGGTCCTCGTCAACACCACGGCGGACAGCTGATAACTGACGCTAGCTCGCCCCCACTGCTCTGCTCTGGGGTCCCATTCAACCTCAACAGTTCCAGAAGGCAGAATTCTACTACTGAAACTCACAGATCGAAGGCAACTGTCCTTGCCCCAAAGCCTAAAGATAAGGACAATTTATCCTCAGTTTACCCCAAAAGCCTAACCCAAGACTCTGTTTCAATTTGTAGATAAGAGAGTGTGCCTCAGGGCACCAGCCCCCCAAGGGCTCTATTGCACTCCAGTGCCCACTGGTCTGCAGCCCACCCAGTCTTCCCCGGTTCTTTCCCAATTAAAAACTTTTTTTTTTTTTTTGGTGATGGTGCAGACCAGATGCTGAAGATTTTCTTTGTTTTTTTGTTTTGTTTTGTTTTGTTTTTGGCTTTGTTCTGGGGCCACACCCAGCAGTGCCCAGGACTGATTCTTGGCTCTGTACTCAGGGATCACTCCTGGTGGGCTTGGGGACCACACGGGATGCTGTGGATTGAACCCAGGTTGGCTATGTGCAAGGCATGCGGCCTACTGGCTATACTATCACTGATGTGGGTTTTGCGGACACAAGTCCATTACCAGTAAAAACTCTTTTGACCCTTCCCAGAACCTGTGTTTTACTGGCCTCCAGCTGTAATGCAAACACTGGTTCCATCACCCTCAGGGAACGTAAGCACCTGCATCCCAGCCCACTCTGTAATTTGGACTCACAAATCAAACCCAGCCTTCGGTGACCTTTTGTTGTTGTTGTTGTTATTTTGGTTTGGGGGCCACACTCAGCAATGCTCAGGGATTTTTTTTTTCTGGCTGTGCACTCAGGAATCACTCCTGGTGGGATCAGGAGGACAACATGGGATGCTGGACTCAGGGCAGCTACATCCAAGGCAAGCACCCTACCCATTGCAGTATCTCTCTGGCCCCAATTAAAAAGCCAAAAATGTATCTGTTTATTTTGTTCTGAGGCCACACCCAACAATGAGCAGACACTACTCCTAGCAGTGCTCAAGGCCTCTACCTGCTTTACTATCGCTCCACTCCACCCCCTTTTTAAGGGTGGGGACCATACCCATGGTGCTCAGTACCCAGAGCCAACACTGAGCCCAGCCCCAGCTCAGCATCTGGACTCACCCTCTTTGTGCTCAGGGCCTTCTTCCCAGACACGCTGCGGAGGGCTCTGGCCGACCCCTTCCGATCACTGCTCCCCAGTCGGGGTGTGAGGCTGCTGGAGTGGGGAGTGCTCCGCGCCGACGAGCTCACCGTGGGCAGCAGGCCCCTCATGGGACTGTTCTTCAGCACAAAGGTCTCTCGCCGCAGGCTAGGCGTCACCCTGCAGGGTGTTGAGCCCTCACTTGGGGGCTCCTGAAGGGAGCACTGCTCCAGCTGGGCTGCCAGCCGCTGGCCCTCAACCAGGATCTCCTCCAGCTTCTTTGGGCTGAAGGGGCCCAGGCTGAGCCAAAGACCTTGGGGGGTGGGGGCCACTGCATTCACGTCACTGCGGTGGGACAGGGCACGGCGAAGGGGCTTCTCCGGAGTCGCCACTGCAGCTATGTCTTCCTCCTCCCGGCTGAGACAGACAGAGCACAAAGCAGGCGCTGGGCCCACAGAACAGAGACAGCAGCAAACGGTGCCATCCCCTTGCACAGAGGACGGGGGACCCAGGCCCAAACTCCCAGGCCCACCGCTGGCTGGGAGAACTGGCCACTAAGTGTGGAGAAACTGGTCCTCAGGAGGCCTAAGATGGCTTTCAGAATGAATGTTGTGGCTTTGGAAACAATGGTGGGATAAAGAGGCAGCAAATCCACTTACCTATCTTTGTAACACCCTGCTTAAGCTTGGTGTTTCTTTTTGGACCCATTATTGCCAGTACAAATCTTTTTAAATTTTAATTAAAAAAAAGAATTGGCCACACCCAGCAATACTTAGGAATTACTCCTGGCTCTACACTCAGGAGTCACTCCTGGAGGACTCAGAGGACCATAAGTGGTGCCAGGGATTGAACCCACATGCAAGGAGGCAAGCGCCATCCCAGCTGTACTATCCCTCCAGTTTCACCACTACAAATCTTCCCCAGAGGCAAATAATTCAGCATGGGGGCGTAGATAAAATGGCAAAGTCCGAGGAAAGAAAGTAGGAAAACGAAGCTGGTACCTGTCAGATGATGACGACTCTACAAAGTCCAAGGTCTCATCCGCAATAAACTTTACATCTGAAGTGGAAGACAGGAGGGACACCATCATAGGGTCTCACTCGTAGGCCCTCATCGTCCCCTCCACGGGCTCCTTACCTTGCTCCAACTCTTCCATGTTCCAGTCCTTAGGATCATCAAGTCTGCCTAGACCCGAGCGGGAAGAGAAAGCAGTCCTTTGCTCGGGTCTCCGTCCTGTCCAAGGCCCCCGGATCTCCAGGCTGCAAGGCGGGAGGATACGGGCATGCTGGGCGCGAGGCAAGCTTCCCGGGAGTAGCACCTGTAACTGGCCCTGGTTCACGCCCGGGAGGATGCTAAGAGCCGCATCCCTCTCCACAGCCGGCCGTCACGCCCCCTCTGCAAATCGGCCTCTCCCCAAAGCCTCCTCCCCGCCACCGTCCTCCGGGCACATTCTTCTCCCGGAGCACCCTGCGCTTCCTCGCGGCACCACACCCACACCACCCCTCCAACCCACCTCCAATCCCCAAGCTCCCGCGGACGGCGCTCGGCCCGCGCGACGGATTCAGTCCGGGACGCGGCTTGGGGGGCGGGGCTCCTTTCGAATCTCCCAGGCCCCGCCCATCGCTACCGCAGGCGCACACTGATAGGCGAATTCCTGCATTCCCCGCCCCTCGGGGCGGAGCGGCGGCTGCACCAGCCGGAAGTCTGCGGGCGGGGGCCCAGTACGAGGCCCGCGGGAGGACCGCAGCTGCGAGGCCCCGAGCGCGAGTCCGCGCACTCTGATAGGCGAATCCCTGCATTCCCCGCCCCTCGGGGCGGAGCGGCGGCTGCACCAGCCGGAAGTCTGCGGGCGGGGGCCCAGTACGAGGCCCGCGGGAGGACCGCGGCTGCGAGGCCCCGAGCGCGCGCTCGCCCGGGAATCGGCCTTTGGCTCCCAGTCGCGAGCCGATTGGGCGGCACGGCGAGGGAACGGGCCAATGAGGATGGCTCTCGGGCCCCGCCGTCCGCTTTTCCCGCCCTGCCCCCCTCCTGGGCGTAGTTGAGCAGGGTCTCTGCATGCCCGGGCGACTCCAGACCCTCCTGGTTTCCCAGCATCCCTCGCATTCCTCGCAGTGGTCGTCCCCTCAGCTAAAAAGCACCAGAAACGTTCATTCTTATAGACTCTTCTTATGTGCCAGCGCTTCGCTGGCCTAATTGCCTGGCTAGTGGTTTTCCGAGTTACAGAAACATCTAAACCTTTATATTTTAGCTCTTTGCTTCTCTCTGCGTAATGCCATTGTCTTTAGTTTTGGTTTAGTTTCTTCTTTTTTAATTAATGGAATTTCTCCTGTCTCCTTAATGACGGCGAGAGTGACAAGAGCATGGTTTCTGGTGTTGGTGGACATCCCTTTTCCTCCACCTAATGTGATGGTGAGGGCTTCTGAAGACAAATCTGATTGTCTGCATCTGCAGAGCTTAGAGTTTTCCTCCTAAGAGGTGGTTGGGATACAGTGTCATCCACCTCATAATCTGTTAACGAAAAGAGTGATTCTTTCGTCCTAGTCCTAGTAATCTATAAACCCTCTGTTTTCCTCTTCCAGCTGTTAGTTTTCTTGCAAAGTACTGGGACTAGGTTCACAAGTCCTGGCAATCTTAGAGCTTTTATACGTCCCAGGCTACTCCTTAAGCGCTTTCTCAGTTTCAAGAAACACTTAAAACCTCTGAAGCAACACCTGGAAGTAAGGCCCCTCTTGATAAACCTTCATTAATGAATGATTTCATAATCAAAGAAGGGGTCATCTCCACAGAACAAGAGATCAAGTTCACCTCAGCTGTAAAGGATCTTCCTGAAGGATCAGAGGTTTCATGGCCTTCTGCTGCCAATAGGGCATTCAAGATTGTGATGTCTAGTCCCTTAAATGATAACCATGATGCAGCTTCTTTAACATCGATGGAATGGCGTCAAGGTCCACAGATAGTGGCTGACTTCCTGGTTTGACCACAGCATATAATGCATTGAACCTCCTGCTGACTTGAGACTTAATTTTCTTGGCTTTCTGATCATATACACATTAAAGCTGTAAGGTCCCTTGGGACCCCAAGGGAGATTCCAGAGTTAAAACTCTACTAATTAGTAACTCTCCCTTTCCTGCCCCCTCCCTAGTAGAGCCTTAGCTGTGAAGCCCTTCCTTATTGGGGTATAAATTCTGAAACCATTTGTTGACTCTTCCCTGCTGGGATGTAAATTCGGAAGCCATGTGTTGGCCCTTCCTTATCTGTTACCTCTGTTAGGAACTTTTCCCTTATCCGCTTCCACAGGATCAAAGGGAACCAGGTTATAACCTAATGTCCAGTTACCAGATGCCCACTAGCCACAATGCTTATGTACGTAAATGCTGATCTTTGAATCTATAGGCTAAGGAGTGATGTACTTTTAAATGGATTGGTTAAGAAAGTATATGTTGTTACAAGTCTATTGGCTATGAAATGCGCAGGCTTTGCTGTAACGGCCAGTGAGGGCCTATATAAGATCCCCTTTGAAGAAGTTCAAAGACTCAGAGACTATAAAAACCAGCTCCCGGAAGAGAACAGTGCAGTCTCCTGCCCCTGCGCCTGGCTGCCCTCGCCGGGGCCCCTTGGAGGGGAGCAGGTTGAGCTTTCCTCCCCACCCCGACCGGCAGCTGAAGACCTCCAGGACCAGCCACCACCATGCTGAGACCACTCTCTGCACACCTGAAGGTACCGGCAGAGGGACAAAGCCACGTGTGTTCCGGGGCCGAGATCTCCAAGCCTACTCGGATTGGGGCCGAGCATCCTTCACCCAGATCCTCCAAATTCCAGTAGGCGGGGGTCACACCCACCAACTGGCCCCCTGGCGCCTGTAATCCCATCGACGGCCAAGACTCAGAGACTATAAAAACCAGCTCCCGGAACCGCGCGCACGGCCGCGTTTGCGGCCACGCGACATCTTATTATGACATCTTATTATCTCATTCCTACTTTGGACAAACTGGCAGGCTACCTAATGTAGCCTGCCCACACGGCAGAGTCTGGCAAACTCCCCGTGGCGTACCCGATATGCCAAATGCCAGTAACAATGATGGGTCTCATTCTCCTAAAGAGCCTTGAATATAATCCCAGGGCTAGGATGAAGGAGACGTTACTGGGGTCTGCTCGAGGCAATCGACGAATAACAGGATGGTCGTGATTCGTGATTCGTTGAAGAAGTTCGGGGTCTTGCCTCCCCTATCTCACCTGCGTGTCTGTGTAGGCGGCTCGACCCTGGCTAGCCAGCCTCACAATCAACCTTGCTTGCTGTTTGCAGTCTCTGGAGTCTCTTTGTCGTTAAAGGGAGATCAGGATCCGCGTCCTAACAAAGCCAATGCTCCTTTGATGAGGCTGCTCACAACATCAGGTCCGAGTCTAAGGCCTACAGATGCCCAAGGCTGAGATTCTCCTTGTGTGTTCAGTATTCCTCTGTCATTACTTATGTATTGATAAAAAGGCCTTCCACTCTGGGGACATCGGTGGTGGGAAATGTACACTGGTGAAAAGTTAAGCTGCTGGGATGTATAGGAAATGCCACAGGGGGGACATGATATGACTGAAACCCAACTATGAACAACTTTGTAACTGTGTGACTCTCTGTGGTGCAATAAAAAAGAAGGGAAAAGAACTTACAAACAAACAACAAAAAAAGGGCTGGGGGAATACAGACAACGGAAATCCAGTTGCAGCTGAGCTGCTTCTCCCTGTGAACAGAACAACTGAGCGAGGCTTCTTAAGACAACTGTAGAGGCTCCTAAAAGAGCCTCTCAGCGAGGTAAAAACACAGCTTTGTCTTCTATTTCTCCTATCTCTAGGGTAAGTGTCATGGTGTCCGATTTAGTTTTGTTTGTTGTTGCTTTTTTCAGCAACACCCGGCGGTACTCAGGGCTTACTCCTGGCTCTACATTCAGAGACCATTCCTGGCAAGCTCTGGGAGTCATATTGGGTGTCAAGGATGCAACCCGGGTTGGCCTGGTTCAAGGCAAGGGGGCCAGGCTTTCAGAACTGGAGGGCAACCAAGGCGTTTTCTTTAAACAATGAACAGCTCAGAGAAGGATGTGGTTGAAATGTGAGCCCAGCTCCGTGAGTGTGAATCAGTCTGACCTTTCTGTGATTGTCTGACCCCTGCTTATCTAGGAGGCAAGGAGGCTCTATCTAGGAGGCAAGGAAGAGGAAGGGGAGGAAGGGAGGTTCTGAGGTTCATGACCCTCCTGTTACAAGATTAGAAGGATAATTACAAGCATCAGTTTTTACACCACATGCCTTGCGACTTCTGAGCGGGTGTTGCAGCAAGCTCCCTCTCAACTAAAGCTGTGCTTGTGAAATGCTTAAAGCTGACTTACTTGGGATTTTCTCAAATGATGCCTGTGAACAGGCTGGGCCACCCCTCAACCAGCTTCTTAGAAAGGCTCTAAAGCTTTAAGGTGTCCCTAAAAGGATGGCTGAGGCTCTTTCCTGATCCGTAGAGCCTGAGTTTTGAACCTTAAGCGTGTATGACCATTCCTGTGGCCATTTACAAGCTTTGTTTTGCTTCCTAGTTTTCCATGGTGGGCTGAGCTCCTGGGATTTCTAAGAAATGCCACAGGGGAGATGGATCCTTGGGATTTAGCAGTGTAATAATAGGAGGCAGGGAGGCCCAGAATTTGGAATTCTGTTAAGCTAGAGAGATTGAATCGTTTCCTATAGGCTTGCTGGTAAAGAGGAATTTAGTAGCAAGTGGGGTTCAGCGAGGGCGGTCACAGCAGCACCTGTCTCCAGGTAGATGGTATAGATGCAGATCAGAGTCTTTGAAGCTGTTAATTACATGCTTCTTCCCCTGGAGCAGCTTGCACTTTTGTGGGGAAAGTGGGTTGGGGGTTTGGGCCCCATGCGGTTAGGGGCTACTCTGGGATCTGTGTTCAGGGATTCCTCTTGGTAGTGCTCTGGGGAGCATATTCAGTGCCCAAGAATTTGACTCGGGCACTGTCATCAAGCCAGGCAAGTGTCTGATCTTCTGTATGATTACTCCAACCTAGCACTTTCTTCACTCACCTTTGGGAGAGGGGAGAGAGGAATGGAAGTTTTAGCAAATTAGAAGCTAGTTTCTCCTAAGTCTCTAATTTTCTATCCCCAAATTAAAAATTTTAAAGTTGTTAACAAAAAGCCAACGGCAGCACAACGGCCAAATTATCTTTGTGTGGTTCTCTGAGCACGGCCAGAAGTGACCCCCCAACCCCCCAACAGCAATAAGTTGTGAGTATCTCCTGAGCACATCCAGATGTGACCTCCCCCAAAAAAAAAATGAAAAAGGAAGGTTTTCCAGAGTGTTGAATGCATGCATGCAGCTCTTGAATGCAGTGGAATTGACTGTGACTTGTCCAGACTAGAGATTAATTCCTTTACCATGGAGATTGAGAATATACTGACATGGGATGCCAAGGATGGAACCCAGGTTGGCCTGCTGTACTTTCTGCCTGGCCCCTTTTGTCTTTTAGCGATACCTGTTAGTGCTTGGGACTTATTCACAGCTTGGTACTAGAAGTGGGGTCCCTCCTATAGTACTGGGGATAATGAAGTTCTGGGAATCTGGCCTGCAAAGTGTGTGCTCCAGTCCACTGAGTCATCATTCTGGTCCATTGTTGCTATTTAGTTTTTGTTTGGTTCCAGCAGGCTTCATCACAGAATGGTTTGAGGAATTTTTTTTTGGGGGGGAGGTGGTCATATCTGACTATGCTCAGGGATCACTCCTGGTGATGCTCAGGGGACTGTGTGTGGTGCTGGGATCATACTGGGATCAGTTGTGTGCCAGGCTAGTGCCTCACCCGCTGCAGTGTCTCTGCAGCCTCCACAGTGTTGTGTGTGTGTGTGCGTGTGCGTGTGTGCGTGTGCGTGTGCGTGTGTGTGTGTGTGTGTGTATCTCCCCCAGCGATGCTCAGGGGTTACTCCTGGCTCTGCACTCAGGAATTACTCCTGGTGGTGCTGGGGGAACCATATGGGATGCTGGGAATCGAACCCGGGTTGGCCACGTGCAAGGTATTCGCCCTCCCCACTGTGCTATCGCACTGGCCCACCACAGTGTATTTTAAAACCTTTCTTCTTTTAAGACTGGAGACAAGCACGGCCAAGGGCACTCACTTCTATCCTGTTCTGCTTGGATGAAACTCTTCTCTGACTTCTGCGGAATCCCTCAACCCTCACAAGTAGCTTGTCCACATTTATTCGTCCTGCTGCTTTCAGTGTGTATCCTGCTGTCCAGCTGACCCCAACCAGCCCCAAGATAGAGAAGCACCTTCCACGTCTTCTACCAATGCTGTGGTGGGGAGCTTTACTCAGCTAGCAGTGGGTCATGGAAAAGCACTTTGAGAGAAGAGAAAGAGGAGCCGGAGGCCCTGAGTTCCACGCACTCTTCCAGAGTGTCCCAACTCTCTGGCAGGGAGGCAGCCCAAGAGTTAAGTGCACACAGCGTGGGACCCTGGTCTGCTCCAAGCACGGAGGGCCTGAGCAGCGCCACAGCTTCAGGCCTGGGATGGAACCACCTGGCCACTTGGCTGAGACTCACCAGAAATGGCCCCCAAGCCTCCTGGACATTGCTTGGGAGGCTTCCCTCGGGGAGAAACCCAACAATAACAGAATTCTAAGTTCCTAAAAGCTTTTCCCAGTTAAAAGTGTTAGAAGACAAATGGTCACATGCACTGAGGAGCACACGTTTATTTAGATGTGACCAAATCCATGTGGTGCCAAAGCTTCTTAGGAACACGGAACACGGTCTTGCCACAGTGTTTGCTTCCTGGAGGCAAAGAAAAGAGATTAGGAAGGTGTTTCCACAGCAAACAGCCAGGCACACGCAGCTGCCTCACTCTGGCAGAGGAAGCTCTCTGCACGTTCCCTGCTTCCTTCCCAGGTCCAGCCCGGGGAAAGACCAGAGGACAGCGACCACTCAGGAGAATAACGCCAATCCAGCACCAACAGGGCAGCTGAGGGAGCGGAGGGCACGGTCTGGGGGAACCAAACCGACAGAACCCTCAGACGTGTTTCCCTCAGGGGGTCGTTCGCTGTGTCCCAGCGATTGGCTTAAATAAAGGCCTTCTAGGATCAAATTCATCCTCCATTTATTTTTCCCAGCCGGGAGCTGAGGAGACTTGAGGAATGTTTCCCCAGTTGCTTCACACATGCACTAGTTTGCACACAATGGTTCTACAGTGAAAGGTTTACAATCTGGACCTGGACGGATAGTCACATTCTAAGCAATGATTAGTTTCCTTTTGCCAGAGATATGCAGCTTGGGATCACCTGCCCAGGGCTTGAACTATTATTAATAGGATGATAATGGTGGATTCCTTCTCTTGGACAGGAAGGAATCCATAAACTTCAAAGTAGAAAGACAGAAGGAACGAATGTGTCTCTCAGCACACTTCAAATACTGAGGAAGTAACAATTGGGAAGTACAGCTGCTTCTCTCCTTTGCACACAACCTAGGTCCACCCCACCCCCAGTTGTTCCCTGGACACCTTTTCTTATTTTGCCTGTCTCCCTCCTTCCCATAGGACACCCCCTCTCGCCAGTCTCCCTTAAACTGAGGTGGAGGCTGTAGCTGTTTTTCAGAGAACTCTAATTAGCATCATCCCTTTTATCATTACAAAGGTAGCCTACACCTGGCTGCATTTGTGTATCCAAAAAGCATGGCCTGTCTGAAAGAAAAGTTGTCAATGGGGTTGAAAGAAAATGAGTCAGTGGGGTTGAAAGGCCCAGGACAGGGGCCGGAGCATCGTACAGGGGGTGAGGCATTTGCTTGCATCCAGCAGACACAGTTCAATCCTCAACATCCAATACAGTCGTCCCCCAAGCACCACCAGGAGTAACTCCTGAGTGCAGAGCCAGGAGTAACCCCTGAGCATCTCTGCGTGTGACCCAAAAAGCCAAAAAAAACCCAAAGACCCTGGACACATTAACCCAGACTCAACTACCCTCACCATCAACCCGTGGCACTTTTGCGACCCACTTGGGGCCCCTCCCTTACCTCCACACAGCGCTCATGTTCTCCTAGGGAGCCTCAACCGGAGCTGCAAAAATTCCAACATTGTTTAATGTTGACATGTCAGAAATCTCTGGGAAAACTTTGGGGCCTCACGGGAAGGATTTTCTACCTCAGATTTTTGGGAGTCCTGTAGGAGTCACTACAGAAGTTCATCTAGGACATTTAGTGACCCACTCATTATTTCTGCACACATTTATTCTCTTTTGGACTGCAGGGGTTGCCTCCAAATACTGTTGGGGTAGGGGGATCAAAGGACCATTCCTGATTAATACTCAGGCAAGTGGGCCAGATGGTTTCAGTGCTAGGGCTCAGTGATGTGGGGACACTTGGGGCCACCAGGACTGGCTCCAGTGCTTAAAGGATCATGTGGTACCCGGAAGTGAAGTTGGGGCCCTGGACATGCAAAGCATGTGCCTCTGACCCCTCAGCTTTCCCCTCAGCCAAGCCTGCACACATTTTGAGATTGTTCATGGTGTGTTAGGAACTGGGCTGGACTCTGAGAATGAGGCCGACTCAGCTCTCTCTGAGGTGCTCCCGAGTGAGGTGGAAATAGACCACAGACAATTGTGAAACACAAGGTCATGTAGCCTCTCCAAAAGACAGGATGGGAACATTGCAGAAAACCAAAAGGAAAGCTGCCCTCTGATCCAGCCAGTCCACTCCCTGGTGTCTATCCCAAGAACACAAGAACATTTGTTCATAAACATCCATGCACATCTATGCTCACCACAGCGCTATTTGCAATAGTCAGGGTCAGACAACAACCCACAACAGGTGAGTGGAAGGAGCATTTGTGGCCTAGAGACTCACTGACACACTGCTCAATTGTAAGAATGGCTGGACTCTTGCATTTCCCTGCATTGTGGGAATAACTGGAAGGCATGATGCTAAGTGAGGTGAGTCAGAAAGGGGACAAACATTGGGTGATCTCATTAGTAGGTGCAGTACAAAGAAACAAAGCAAGGAAACAATGTCCAGTGAAAAAAAATCCTGAGATAAGGCCGTATATAACTGAGGTTGCCAGCCTATGTGGGTGGAGGGAGACTGGCACGAAGTGGCAGGGCTGGGCAGTGCAGCTAGCCTGAAACAATAAGAGGAATACTTTTCTGTTTGCTTGTTGTTAGGCTCACCTGATGATGCTCAGGCATTACTTCTGGCTCTGCACTCAGGTATTACTCCCGGCTGTGTTCAGGGAACCACATGGGTACCAGAGATCAAACCTGGGTCATCCGTGTGCAAAGTAAATGCCTACACTCTGTCCTATAACTCAGGGCCCTTAATACTTTCTTTATCTCGTGTGTGTGTGTGTGTGTGTGTGTGTGTGTGTGTGTGTTGCCAAGGATTAAGCCCAGGGCCTCACACATGTTAGGCAAATGCTCTACCTCTGAGCCACATCCTGACTCAAAATCTGTTTTTCTATCATCATAACTCAAAAAAATATTTGATTGGACGATTGAACTGAAACACACACACACACACACACACACACAAATATAGGCGTGGAGAGCAAAGTAAGGGAACAGGGATGGAGAAAGGAATGAATGCTTTCAAAAAGGCAGGGAGGGAGAGAGGGGGAGAGAGGGGGAGAGGGAAAGAGAGAGGAGAGAGAGTGGAGAGAAAGGAGAGAGAGAAGAGAGGGAGAGGAGAGACAAAGACAGAGAGACAGAGGGAGAGAGAGAGTTCAGAATTTTTTCAAGAGACTTGACAGAGAAGTAAAATAAACCTAATAATCGAACAGCTGCAGCTTTGCTGGACTGAATCAGGAAATCACTGAGTTGAAAGAAAAACTATTTGGACGAGAACTTTGGTGCTTTCACCATCATGCTCAGCGATACTGGAAATGTTTCCCGTATGCATAATGGAAAGAACAATTCTTTCTGTGCTACAGAATTTTGAAAAGGCTCCTCAGGACCAGAGCGATAATTCAGTGGGCTAAGCATATGTTTTGTAATTCAGAGGCCGGGGTTTGATTCCCAGCACTGTATGGTCCCCTGAGCACTGTGGACAATGAACTCCAAGTACAGAGCTGGGAGTAGTCCCAGAGCACTGCTGGGTGTGGCCCTCAAGTAAGACAAAACAAAACCCAAAAAAAGGCTCCTCCAATATATTGTGATGATGGAGCTTTAGTACTGAGTTAAGGCGCGTGCCTTGTATGCAGCTGATCCAGTTCAATCACCAACAGCATATGTGGCCCCCCAAACACCACCAGGGGGCGCTCCTGAGCACACAAGCAGGAGGAGCCTCCGCGCACCACTGGGTATGGCCACAGGATTGAACTCCCCCTCCCACCCCCGCCGTAATAAACTCCCATTTTAGTGGGAGTTTGGTGAGAACCAGAGGGTCAAACCAAGCCAGAACTGCGCCCTGAGGCTGGAGCGTGGAGAGGAGGTGGCGGCACCGGGTCCCCTCCACACTCCTGCCCTTACTCTGCATGTCCACCCGACACTCCACGGACGCCTCCCCCAGGGCGTTGATGGCCTTGCAGGTGTAGATGCCCCCGTCGAAGGGGCCGGGCTTGCGGATCTCCAGGGAGCAGATCCCCAGCTGTGTGAGGGCTCTGTATTTGGGGTTGTCCTGGATCTCCATCTTGTTCTTCAGCCAGATGATCTTGGGCTGCAAGAGGAAGACGAGGGATCAGCAAGGAGTAGCAGAACCCGTGCTCCTTGTGGGCCTGGTACCGTCAGCCCGTGCAGGAGGCTCAGGGCACCCGGCCCGAGAAGCAAGGGGCTCAAAGCGTTTTGTTGTGGTGGCTGTTTTGACTTTATGGTTTTGAGTTTTGGGTTTGAGGGCCGTATCTGGCAGTGCTCAGGGTTTGTACCTGGTTTTGCGCTCAAGGATCACTCCTGCCAGGGCTCAGGGAACCCTGTGTGGTGCCAGGGGTTGAATCTGGGTCAGCTATTAGAAGGCAAATGCCTTACTGTTGTACATCACTCAGCCCCTGAGAGTGCTTTAAGAACAGACATCTGTTCTTCCAGGATGCTGCAAGGGACCACGGGCTTCTCAAAAGCGCCTTGTCCCTAGGATTCTGCTATTCACCTCACCAGCCTCCAAATCTCACTCCCTCCGTGAAAAGGATCATGTAATTGTCGTATTTTCTGTTCCATCACCAGCAAGCAGCCCCTCAGGGATCTGAGGAACTGGGGACAGGGCTCTCTCTGCGTGTGGCGTTGTTCAGTCATTCATATTCCAGCCCCATGATTGTGTGGGAGTCACCCTCTCCCCTCCACGTAACAGATGGAAAGTCTCCATCATGGACCAACTGTGCTCTCTCTCTCTCTCTCTCCCCCCTCTCTCCCCCTCTCTGTCTCTCTGTCTCTGTCTCTGTCGCTCTCTCTAGATGTCACCCCTTCTAGGCTGGCTGACCACTCATCACCCACAAGGTCCCCGGCACAGGGTTCCACTGTGGGCGGTGCAGTGGTAGGCATCTACATGTCGCATCATCACAGGGACCTGCTCAGGGCGTGGCCAAAGGATGAAGTCAAGGCGGCACTCAAATGAGCAGCCTGATCAAGGCCCTGGGTACTGGGCCTGACGGGGCAAACAGACAGCTCCATCCTCCCTGCCAGATGGACAGCCAGGGGCTTGTGCCCACTGCTATAAGCCACTGGCCGACACGAGCAGTAAGCCAGAGGAACAGCAGCCACCTCAGTCCCCTCAGCCCGCCCTGGCCTCCAGTGCTGGGTCAGAGCCCACAGGAGGTGTGGGAACAAATATCTCGGTTCCTCTGTCATTTCGGGTGGGGAGTGAGGGTGATCAGGCCACGCTCAACACCAACTCGGGGTTTACTCCTGACTTTGTGCTCAGGAGACCATATGAGCATCCAAGGACCGAACTAAGGGGTTGAAGCGATAGCACAGGTTCGATTCCCAGCATTCTATATGGTCCCCTGAGCACCGCCAGGGGTAATTCCTGAGTGCAGAGCCAGAAGTAAACCCTATGCATCGCCGGGGTGACCCAGAAAGAAAAAAAAAAAAGGACCGAACTAGGATGGGCCCCAGGCAAGGCCAGTGCCTCTCTGTTGTACCTTCTCAGACCCCAAACGTGCTGGTTTGGAAACTCTCGAGGCTGGAGGAAAGGGCAGGTAGGAGCAGGAAGCGACGGGCTCACCTTGGGGGAGGCACGGACACAGCAGAAGAGCTGGGTGTTGTAGCCAGGGACAGGGGTGCAGTCGGTCAGGGGCTGCGTGAACCTTGGCGCTTCCCAGAACTCCCTCAGCGCAAACCCTTCTGTCTTGTACACAGCCACTGCGGGGGAGGGTTGTGTGCTCAGGTCCGCGCCCCCAACCACCTTCTCCCGTGCCCCCCAGGTGGCTCCGGCCTACCTGCCTTCTGCACATGGGCTACATCGGCCGTGACGGCGGCCGTCTCGCTGAGCCCACACAGATTCTCCGCGAAGACCCGGAAGGTGTAGGAGTTGCCCACGATGAGATTGGAGATGACGCAGCTGGTGCGGTGGTAGCCCTCAAGCACCGTGAACCAGAGCTGCAGGGGACAGGAGACGCAGTGCCGGGGGCCCTGCCTGGGGGGCCCCAGCCCAGCCACCAGCCTGCCCACAGCCCTGCAACCCCACAGCCCCCTTCTGCTCCCACCTGACTCCCCGCCCCCCAGCTCACCCCAGATTTCCTGTCAGCCTTCTGCACCGTGTACCCCAGGAGGACAGTATTGCCTGTGTCTTGGGGAGGGGTCCACTCCAGGGTTGCGCTGGAGCCCCAGACATCCACCAACTTGATACTCTGAGGAGGTCCCGGCCTCTCTGCAGAAGCAAAGCATGGAGGCTGAGGGGGGCCCCCGAAGGGCTGGAGCGTGGGCATAGCACGGAGAGGGCCCGGTCACCAGCCCCGGCACCCCCCGTACCGCCGGGCATGGTCACCGTTCCACTGGGCTGGCCACTGAGTCCTCAGGTCTACACCCCATACTGAGCATCCCCCTGGAGTGAGCCTGGAGCCCTGACAATCCCCTAAAACAAAGGGGAAGCCTGGCTGAGGGCTGGTCCAGCCTATCAGGTGTGCTCGGAAAGCACCTCTGGAGTCTACTTTCCCCTTCCACTCGGCTGCTCTGCTCTTTTTTTTTTTTCAATTTTTTTATTTTATAAGTTAGCTCACAATATTTGATTACATTTGATATTCACACAAATTCCACCACCATTACACCTTCCCACCACCAAATTCAGGATATTTCCATCCCAAACCCCAATCTCTGTCCCAAAACCCAACCAAAAGAATATATTTTGTATTGTCTGTTATGAAGCACTGCTGAACATGCTTACAAAAAAAGTGTTCATATAGAAAACAGTGTGAAGATTGTTCTATTTTGGCAGGAGCCTTTAAGATATTCTATAGGATATCACCAACATGTTGTTAAAGTTTGGGTGATGTGAGCTTCGGTATATATGTAGCACTGTCCTCCCGTTGTTCATTGATTTGCTTGAGCGGGCACCAGTAATGTCTCCATTGTGAGACTTGTTGTTACTGTTTTTGGCATATTGAATACGTCATGGGTAGCTTGCTAGGCTTTGCCGTGTGGGCAGGATACTCTCGGTAGCTTGCCAGGCTCTCCGAGAGGGGCAGAGGAATCGAACCCGGGTTGGCTGTGTGCAAGGCAAATGCCCTAACCACTGTGCTATCACTCCAGTCCTTTGGTCACTGTCACTGTCCTCCCATTGTTCATCAATTTGCTCGAGCGGGCCCAGTAATGTCTCCATTGTGACCATTGTTACAGTGTTTGGCATATCGAATACGTCATGGGTAGCTTGCCAGGCTTTGCCGTGAGGGCGAGATACTCTCGGTAGCTTGCTGGGCTCTCCCTTTGGTATATATATGCAATATGTATATATATATATTTCCCTTTATGATTTATTGCCTACTGTCTGAACCCCATCAAATATGGTATGATAATTATGGAGAATGGGTAAGGAGTGTCTTATGATGTGTCCAGGAATAAGTTCACTCATCTGTGAGGCTCAGCCTGAGCGCGTGGGGAGCGGCCTGGAGTGTGACGGCGGTTGGTAGTGGAGGTCGGCTGCTGGGGCTGGGTCCCTTGGGTCAAGGAGGGCTCTCACCCATCCCCCTCTGGGGAGCCCCGAGTGAAAACAGCCTGGCGCAGAGTTTGGTGGCAGGCTATGGGGGCCTCATTTTATGTTCCCTTCTGGGAGAAGCAGACATGTGATCTGAAGTGTGGCTGCCCTGCTCTTGACCCATCACTGTGTCCCATATGTCCCATACCCGATGTGTGGGCTCAGCTCATCTCCCCCAGCTCTCTGGGGAAGCCCCCCAGGCCCGCATTTCGCCCCCCAGCATACCCACGACCAGGATGTCGATGGTGGCCGTGTCCTCCAGCCCGCCTAACTGCAGGCTCAGCTGGTAGCGGCCCGAGTCCGCCCGCTGGGCCTCACGCACGAAGAGGACAGAGTCGTGCTCCCCGTCCCGCACGCTCACGCGGCTGGTGTCCAAGGCACGGCCATCGTGCGTCCAGGTGGCTCGAGGTTTGGGTCTGCCCTGGAATAGGGGAGAAGGCTGTGACTGCCCCCGCCCTGGGCCCCTTGGTCCTCCCTGCTGTGGGGGTTGGGCCCCACCACGGGGTCACATGGGGTGGTCACTTGCAGCTGTGAATTCCTGGGGTCAGAGAAGTCCCAGAGTTTGACTTCCTTTCGGCAACAGCCGAGGATGCTGGAAAGGGCAGGTAGATGGGAGCCCCCCACTCTGACCGGGACCCCTAGGGCAGTGGAGAGAAGCAGACAAAGGCCACGAGTCAGCATGGCACTCATGGGCACCAAACCCCTCTGCAGGAAGATCAGTGGGACTCAAAGTTCTGGGATACGTTCCCCCTCCTGAGTCAGGTCTCTGTCCCCATCACAGCCCTGGCCCCCCACAAGGCCCCAGCACCTGGAACGGGATGAGCAGGTTCACTGTGTCCCCCACCTTCCGGATGTAGGTCTGCTTCAGGAACCGAGGGAGCCAGATTTTGGGGGGCTCTGAGGGATGGAAAGGAAGAGAACAGGGGACCAGGAGCCCCCGGTTGGCATAGGGAGGGAAGAGCTCAGAGGAAGCGACTGCTGACTCCAGCTGTGCTTCATGGCCTGCAGCCCTGAGGGACTCCGTGGTACCCTGACACCGTGGCACTTTGATGGGAAGACAAGTCCCGGGATGCAGGGAAGCCATGAGCTGGAGGAACCTTCAGAGAACACAGAAGTCTTGGCAGAGAGAGCTCTGGTGCATGAGTCCAGGGTTTTATTCTTTGAAACTCCTTCTCTCTCTCTCTCTCTCTCTCTCTCTCTCTCTCTCTCTCTCTCTCTCTCTTGCTCTACCTCTCTTTGGTTTTTGGGCCACACTTGCTCATGGATCAACTTATTACTTGCTCTGTGCTCAAGGATCACTCCTGGAAGGCCCAGAGAACCTATGTGGTGCCTGGGATCAAACCTGGGGTAGTTGTCATAAAGGCAGGGGGAGGAGTGGATAGGGAGATTCTGGGGACACTGGTGGTGGAAGATGTGCACTGATGGAGGGATGGGTGTTCGATCACTGTATGACTGAAACTCAAACATGAAAGCTTTGCAACTGTATCTCATGCTGATTCAATTAAAAATTAATAATAATAATAATAAATAATTTTTAAAAAGCTCAGGTTAGTTGCGTGCCAGGCAAGCGCTCTACCCACTATACCATGGCTCCAGTTCTGTCACTAAACCCAACTGACATTTCATCAGCTGGGTTTCATCCGCCTGCCTGACTGGGGCACAGACCAGCCCAGACTCCGCCGTGTGGCTGCTTCTCCACCCCTCTGTGACAGCCGTCCTACACAGCACAGCCTGACCTGGGGAGCCCCACCCCCAGGGAGCCTGGAGGGAGAAGTGTCCCATTCTCCCCAGCACCCCGGACAGCACCACACCCCAGGGAGGGAGCTGCCAACTCCTTGCCCCCGCAGGCCCCTGCACCGCACCCTCCGTCCTGGAGGGTCACTTTGTACAGACAGAGTGGGAGAGATGAAGCCCATGCTCCCAGCCCCTGTCCTCCAGACCCTATTCCGGGACAAGGAGATTAGAGGATGTTTCCTAGCTCCCGGCATGAGGGCAGGCCAGAGATGGTGGAAAGTGCTGAGTGTTTGGAGAAGGACCAGGTGTGGCCCAGCTGACCGCACGCAGAAAGCCCGCCCGACTTCCCCTGGGGCCTGGCTGGCCCACCCCTATTTTCTTGGCCACTTCTGTTTCCTTTCTCAAGCAGAGACAGCCCCCTGCTGCTCTGTCTGTAGAGGGATGTACCAGCACCTCGGTGGCCCCCCTGTGTCCCACTACTCATCCCTAGCAGCAGGGGAAATGCCGCCCTAGGACCCGGCAAACCACTCGGCCACGCCAGAGGGTTCTAGAACATCAACACTACCCTCTGCCCTGGTGCCACAATACTGAGTACCTACTTAGACATGGAACTGTTTAAGGAGCTCATACAGAAGGCAGTGTTGGCATGAAACTGGTCAGAAGTAGTTAGAAACATGTCACGGAAGAGAGTCCAGCGGTTCAGACACTCTATTTGCATGCCACTGACCTCAGTTCCATCTCTGGCACCATAGGTGATCCCCTGAACCCCCTCCAGGAGTGACCCCTATGCACAGAGCCAAGAGTGAGCCCTTAGCACTACTGGGCCATCTCCCCACCCAATAATTTAAAATATTGGGGCCTGAACAATAGTGCATTGGGTAGGGTGTTTGCCTTGTACGCAGCCAACTTGGGTTCAATCCTGGCACCTCATCCGGTCCCCTGAGCCCCACCAGGAGTGATCCCTGAGCACTGCCAGGTGTGACTCAACAACAACAAAAATGGATGAAGAGGTCTAGAGAGCAAGTACAAAAGGTAAAGTGCTTGTCCTTGTCCTGTGTGCAGCTGACCCTAGCGTCAGTCCCAGCACTACATCTGTCCCCAGGTACTACCAGGGTCTCTCCTGAGCACAGAGGCAGGAACAGCCCCCGGGTCCTGCTGGGTGTGGCCCCGAGCCACCACCTCCTCCGTCCTCTCCAAAAATCGAGCGGAGGGGCCCGGCAGACAGCTCAGCAGGCGGGAGCATAGTCCTTGCATGCTCAAGGCCCCACGGCATGGCTGGGTACGGCCCCCGGGGCCCGGTAGCCCCTTGCAACTCTGAGTCCTCAAACCATCAAGCTCCTGCCAGGAGTGGCCCCAGGCCACTGAACATGTCTGGGTGGGCCCCCAAATAAATAAACAAATATGTAGATTTTCTGCTTTGCCCTTCCTACTCCTCAGCTTGTAGGTCATGATTCAGAGACCAGGAACTTGCCTGCCAGAACCCCCGTGCCCCCCGCCCCCGCCCCCGCCTGCCTGCCTCTCTCTCCTTGGTCAAGGGAAGATGGACACAAGTACTCAGCACACACTGACCATTTATCATTTCTTTTTGGCTGCGCTTCCCTCGACCAGACCCCGGGCTGCCCCGGTGAACAGGCACTCACAGTGTCTGTGCTGCTCAGACTTGACAGCGGCGCCCGACCGGGCCTCTGTTTCCCTCAGTCTGGGGCTGGGGGGCCGAGAGGAACAGAAGCTGGTTTGTGTGACCCGCTCCTCGCCTGTGGCCGGCTTGGCAGGCGACCAAGGAGCTGAGAATGGGCGGATATGACTGAAGGGGTTTTTTGGGGGGTGGGGTGGAGAAGAGGGTGGCTATTGAAAGGGAGGGTCAAAACCTCATCTGGTTAGGCTGGCTTCCCCGGGGATGGGTGAGGAAGTAGCCCTTTGCCCTTGTTGGGGGCTCCCTGGGCCAGCCACAGAAGAGGGGGTGAGAGGAGAGGGTAGCTGACACAAGCAGGGCGGCAGAAGAAGAGGAAGGAAACGCGCCCAGAGAGAAGCCCCTCACCGCCGAGCAGATCACGTGGCTGTGAGGTGGCGCTGACACCCTCACCCCGGGAGTGTGGGTCTGAGGTGTGTGTGCCTCTCACGTGCCCCCCCTTCCCGCCCCTGTGATCTGTCCCCTCCAGAGGGGAGGAGAGCCACGGGGAAGGCAGAGGTGGTCCTCAGACTGGGGAGGTGCAGGAGGAGATGAGGGCTGGCCAGCGGGTCTGTGCTCAGGCTTCTAGGCTCGTTCACACGGGTGGATGCAGCGTTGCCATGTGGCGTTTCCTGCTTTTTCCCTCCTTCCCTCCTTCCTTCCTTCCCTCCTTCCTTCCTTCCTTCCTTCCTTCCTTCCTTCCTTCCTTCCTTCCTTTCTTTCTTTCGTCATACCCGGCAATGCACAGGGGTTACTCCTGGCTCTGCACTCAGGAATTAGTCCTGGCAGTTCTCGGGGGACCATATGGGATGCTGGGATTCGAACCCGGGTCGTCCGAGTGCAAGGTAAACTCCCTACCCGCGGTGCTATCACTCCAGCCCCTCCTTCATTTCTTGGAGTGGGAAAATCCTTGAAATGTTGGGGCTGTTCTGAAGTGGGCAGGCTGAGAGGGTCCTCTGTGAAGACCTTCTCAGGAAGTGCTCGAGAAGTTGCTCGTCATGGGTCCTGACTGAGGTGGCCTGAAGCCCCGAAGGCCCCTTCAGAAATGCAGAGACAAAGGTGCAGACCAGAGAGAGGTGGACCCCGTCAGGAAGGGAGAAGACTGAAGAGAAAGGGGCCAGGGCTAAGGTGAGAGGGCCACCCCAGAGCAAAGTCGCTCCCTGGCAACACCCTTGTCAGACTTGGCAGCGAAAGGCCAGGGGGGCAGTGTGGGAAAAACCTAGAAGCCTCCCCCCCCCGCCCCCCCCCCCCGGCCGCCATCCTGGCAGCCACATCTTGGCCTTTGCTGTCCTTCCTCTCTTTATGAGCCCTGGTGCTCTCCGCCCGGAGAATCACAACTTCTCTTGAATACATCGCTATAGCCTCCTAGTCTCAAAATAAAACTGTTTCACTTTGTGATTTGTCTCCTGAGAGTCTTTTCTGCAAGGGTCAGCTAAACCTTAGAAGCCTGGACAGAGGTCAGGACTGACTTTCCTTTCCTTGCAAAGAGCAATTCCCAGTCTGAGGCCAGGGCTTCCCTTGGGGGTACGGATGCTCCGGTGTCCAGAGACCAGTGGCCATAGGTGCAGATTCACGCTGATTGTGGGACTGGTGGTGGTGAGTGACCCTTCCTTCCTTCCTTCCTTCCTTCCTTCCTTCCTTCATTCCTTCCTTTAAAATTATTTGGTTTGGGGGCCACACCCGTAATGCGCAGGGGTTACTCATGGCTCAGCGCTCAGGAATCACTCCTGGCAGGCTTGGGGACCATACGGGATACAGGGATCCAACCTGGGTTGTCAGATGCGAGGCAAATGCCCAACCTGCTGTGCTATTGCTCTGGCCCCGACCAGGATCTTCTTGGGGACTGGGTTGGGGATCGAGAGTGGTAGCACCTCCATGACTCTCCACTCAGCCGATCACCTACTGAGTTAGGGAGACAGCCCAAGGTCAGGTGACCTGCCAGCTTCACCTGAACTAAGAGAATAATGGAAGAAGTGGCTTTGTGACAGTATAGGTTCTGCTCCTCAGGAGGGACCAGATGAGCCATGAGGTCCGGAGGGAGCAGAAAGACCAAGGCTGAGGATGATTACTGTTACTATTATTACTATTGGCAGAATCTCCTGCCCCTGCGCTAGGCTGTCTTCAGGGAGGCCCCCTCAGAGGGGGGCGGTTGAGTTCAGAGCAAAGGCAGCCAAAAGCCTCCAGAACCCAGCCACAGCCACGCTCAAGGCCAATCTCCACACGCTCGGACGAGCCTCACGCATGAAGAAGCTGGCAGAGGAACCCAGGTGTGCGGGACTGGGGGCTGAGATCTCCAAGTCCGCTCAGATCGGGACTGGGTCTCCTCCACCCAGATCCCCCATTCTCCAGTAGCTTGGCAGTCACACCCACAAACTGCCCTCATCAACGGCCAAGATCCAGAGACTATAAAACAAAGCTCCTGGAAGAGAATGATGCCTCCGTCTCTCTCAGAGAGCCTGGCAAACTACCAAGAATATCCCGGCTGCACAGCAGA